CCTGTCCTGGCCCCTCCATCCCTGCGGGCCCTCCTGCCCTGGCCCCTCCATCCTGCGGGCCCTCCTGCCCTGGCCCCTCCATCCTGCGGGCCCTCCTGCCCTGGCCCCTCCGTCCCCACGGGCCCTCCTGCCCTGGCCCCTCTGTCCCCATTGTCCCCACTGCTCTACCCACCTTGTTCCTGTCCTTGAGGTCCAGGGACTCCATGGGCTTGTTCTGCTGATGCCCGAAGATCTCCAGCAGGTTGTCGTAGTTGGTGGTCAGCACCAGCGTGCCACGCTCCATCAGGCTGAGGATGGACTGCAGCACCAGCGGGTCCTGGATGTGCTGCTCCAGGCTGTCGAAGACCTCCATCAGACAGTCCTGGAAGAAGCTGGGCTTGCTGTCACCTGTGCGCTGGAGGACGGTGGGCGAGTTACCAGGCAGCCACAGTGACCAAGCACCCAGTGCCGCCATGCGTGCTGGAGAGACAGCAGTCATACAAAGAGCCCTTGGTTCCAGGGGTTAGAGGATCCAGAAGTGGCAATGAGGGCCAAGGCTATGGAAGACAGAGGGAGCAGGGGACAGCAGTCTATCTCCTGGGCCTAGCTGCGCCCCTCCTCCTGGGCCTGGCTGTACCCCCCCCTTCTCCTGGGCCTGACCAGTCCTTCCTTTCCTGGGGCTTGGCCACACCCCTTTTCCTGGACCTGTGTGGCCCACGCCCATGCTCACCGGCCCCCTCCCGGCCACACTGCTGCCATCCTCTTGGTGTCACGCTCACTGAGATGACCCTTTCTGTACCAGGAGTTCCACATTTCTCTCTCCAGTGAGGGCTCCTCTCAGCCCCCCACCGAGCACTCACTTCTCCTGAGCTGCCCGCTCCCCACAGCCCTCCCCAAAACACTCGGCCCCAGGAAAACGATCCCACTGAGACCTGGAGTCACTGCCCTTACAGCCTCCTCACCACCTCCCTTGTCTCACCAGCCTGCTCAAGTGTTACCAGCTCCCACTCCCTGCCTCTCCTGGAATGCATCCAACTCCCTTGCCCTTCTCTTCCTTTGTTGGAAACCCTGGCAAAACCTGTATCCACACCCACCCAGTCTGCCTGTACCCTACACTGTGCCCTGAGCCACAGAGCTCCACATACACGCCCCTCTGTGCTCCCATCCCCTCCTGACGGTGCCCCCACTGTGCACCCAGCTCCACATGATGCTCAGCGCCACGGGGCCTGGTGAGAGCGCATCACGGGACTGGCCTCGCTCAGCGCTTCCTGTGCCAGTTCTCTGAGGACGGGCAGAGGACGAGCAGGACAGCGGCCTCACGCACGACAGTCAACCGTTTTCAGTCATCTGGCTCTCTCCACGAGGGTCCTGTCCAGCCTGGGCCCAAAGTGCTCCCCAAGATCCTACTGCAGCACCCGTGCCACCAGGTCTCCTCCTCCTCTTCCTCTAGGGGGAGGGGAGACTCTTTCCACGAAGTACCAGACAGCACGCTCACGCTCCCCAGCCCGCAGGCCGCAGTCTCCACACCCCTGCCACTAGCAGCCAGGCCTCCCAGCTTACAGCATTCCCCAGGACAGCCTGAGGAAAGGTGGCTGGCTGCCCGGACCAAGTCACACCTACAGCGTCCTCCTCGGCTCGGTAAGGAAAAACACCTCGTCCACACCCAATGGCACAGGATGTCTCGGACGCACAGGCCTGCCCAGGGCCACCCAACACCTGTTGCCAGAGGACCCTCTGCAGACTGAGGGGTCTGGGCACAACGCTGCCCTGTGGAGCTAAGGCTCTGTGTAGGGTCACCTGCCCGGCCCATGGACAAGCCGCGACATGTGGCAGACTCACAGGGGACATCTTGCGGATGAGGTCATGGGCTACGACCAGCAGGTCTCGGTCCTTCGTCACCTTCCTCTGGAACTCGGCGATGTCCCCAGGGTGCAGCACCTCCAGCTGGTCCGCGGCCTCGATCACGGCCTCGATGCAGTCCCGCCAGGAGCGCAGCGCTGGGATGCCGGGGGCCACGGCCGCGCTCACGCCCGTCCCGATGACCAGCAGCAGCTCCTGCGGCTGCTTCCGGATGAGGCTCTTCAGAAACTTTCTGCTTCAAGCCGGGCCGAAGGGCACCAACGTCACCAAGGGCTTAGGGGCAGGGCAAAGCCATCCCGGCACTCATCTGTCCCCGCTTTATCCCACAGTCCATACCCGCCCCGTTTCACAGGGACCCCACCCTGGAGCAGCAGTGGTTAAACACACAGCTGTTAACCGAAAGATCAGGAGGGCACATACACCAGCTCCTTCCCAGGACAAGAGGACGCTGCTGGGGTCCCACCCACCTACAGGGTCTTAGGAACTGGTGGCTGAATGGTAAGGAGATGTGTTCACAAGCCAAAGGTGGGCAGTTCAGATTCACCAATGGCTCATGGGCGAAGGACGGGCAATCCGCTCCCAGGTGATTTACAGCCCCTGAAGAGGCCCTGGACCGTCAGCTAGGGCTCGGTTCCGACTTGATGGCTCACGGCCCCCAAGTGCACGGTCATGGTGAGTCGGTCAGCTCACCGCCACCAAGGGGCCCCATTCCACACAGGATTCGGGGGCCGCTCTGTCTTACTCCTCTAATGACACCCGATCAAAAGCCAAGCCCACAGCCGTCCAGCCAGCTGCAACTCCTCACGACCCACCAGCAGGTTTCTGAGGCTGGAAGTCCTGACGGGAGGGCCCCTCTCCTCCCTGGGAACTGGCTGAGGGTCACCACCCACCAGGGCCCCTGGGCGACAGAGCTGTGGATAAGCCTCTCAGCAACCTTCACCCCCTTGTCATGGAAAAGGGACTGTCAATGCAAACTGTGAAGACTAAATGGCCCCCTGCCTGCAGCGACAGACACAGTTACAGGTACCCTGCCATCACTGATACAGTTGCAGGTATGGCCACAGAGAGAGTTACAGGTATGTCACAGATACACACAGGAGAGTTACGGGTATAACGGGGTTCCCTGGCACCCACCGACCCAGCCTGCCCTGCACACACACCCCTCCCCGCAGTGCTTTCTCCTGGGTACAGTCTGCCATCCTGTGTCCATCTGTCCATCTGCTCACAGCAGAGCATGCTGCCCTGAGGTGCAGGGCACATCCCAGTGCAGATGCTGCCCTCTGGCTCTGTGGGGCTGGGCCAAGGCCAGGCTATGAATCACTAGTCAAAAACCTGCCCTCCGAGTGGTGCTTCTGCTTAAAGCAGAGAAGTGGATGCACCCAGACCGAGGGGACCAGGACAACAGGGGGGCCAGGAAACGCGTGTAGACAGGGCGGTGCTGCAGAGGGAGAAGCTGCAGGGGTCCAAGGGGTGCTTTACCTGGATTTCTGCTCACTTGTGTTTGTCGTCTTCTCCACCGAATCCATCTGTGAACCCTAAAGAGAAGCGCGGATCAGAAGGGACCCCAGTGTCCTCTCCACCAGCCCGACACCAGCAACCCGCAACAGCCAAGGATGGAACTAAGGTCAAACGCCTTAAGCACTGACATTTGAAAACACGGGAAATGCCATACACCATAAACGCCCATGGAGGTTTCCAAAGCCCCATCCCAACTTGTGGGGCTTGGCCCCTCACGGGCTCCACAGGACACAGTGTCGGAAGGTGCCCGCCCCAGGGACCAGCCTGCAAGAGGCTAGTCCGACTGCAGGACTTGGCATGAGTGCAAAGGCCCTCCAGGAAGTGACAAGTGGCCCGTGGGCGAGTTCACGGAAGACGTGAGCGGTCAGGTCAGGACCCTGGTGAGGTGGAGGCCACCCAGCACCACCACTGAGCCTTCGGCAGGGAGCCAACGCCCAGGGTGCGTGAAGCAGGAACCAGCCCCATCCGCATTGCCAACCCACCTGCACACTTGTTTCTTCCAGAATCTGGCTCTCCCTGACTCTAATACTATGTTGTGTTTGTTGTGCACTGACCCACCACTGAGCCTCCAGAGAGCTGTCAGAGGCTGTAAATCACGTGGGAGGAGACTGCCCATCTGTCAGAGGCAAAGCAGCAGGTGGATTCGAACCATGTTCCTCTGTGTTGGCAGCATGGTTCCTTAATACTGATTCAAGACCCTTCCCAAACAATTACCTAAGCTTACTATCCATAAGCAGCAGTTGTTCACATATGTATGTTTCCTCTCATCTCTCCACTTTATCATTTGATACGGAAGTGCAGATGCAACTTTTTTCACACCCTAATAAAAGTATTTCCTTTACTTAAAATTTCATAAAGTTACTGGCTACATAGAAGGGAACATATCTTATTCATACACTCTTGGCCTAGTGAGTCAAGCACACACTGCCAACCCAAAGGGGCATGGTTCAAATCCACCAGCTGTTACAAGGGAGAGAGAGAGAGAGACGGGCAATCTCCTCCCATGTGAAAACCTCCCATCTGAAAACCTGCCGGAGGGTCAGCTTCAGTCCAACTCGCTGGAGTGACCTGAGTTGATCTTCCAGATTGCTAACACAGGGCGTTTCTAAGGGAACGCTCAAACAGTCCTGCTCCAAGCTCTGTGTGCATTCAGAAATTCCTTTTCTAGGAGAGGGTTCTGGGGAGTGGAGCTGCCACATTATAGAGCGCGTGTCCCGTGAGACCACTTCCCCGAGGGGCCCACTGCACATGGCCCCCATCAGGTCTATCTGCGTCTGCCTGGTTTATGGGGGTCACCTAGCTTAATAAGAATCAGGCCAACAAAAAATAACTTTCAAGGACAACGAAAGCAGGTTTCCTCAGTGTAAGGGGGCCGAGAACCATCCAGTCATGACTTCAGTCATGTTCCCACAACCCATGTATCTTTGGTAGGTCCAGGATTCTGGGTGGCCTGACATTTATGCAAGGACGTGGTTTGGCCTAAGACGAGATGCAATCCCACAGGTGACTGTGACCCAGCCTGTGGTTGTAAACGGGGTGGGACAGCACTCAGCCCTTTAGAAAGGGAGGCTCCCTGGGGTGTGGCCTGCATCACCTTTTCTAGGAGGAAGGGGCCTCATTAACACCAAGGAGGAAGAGGTGGACGCAGGCGGTCCTTGGGACCCAGGGTGCCTGTGCTGAGAGCTTCCTAGACCCTGGGGAGGGCAGGTGCCAGGACTCAGGAGGGACACCTGGGCCCTCTGCTGGAGAAAGCAGTCCCTCCCCTGAGGCTCGGGCTCTGTCAGGTGCAGAGCCCCCTAAACATGCGGGCAGAAGCTTCCCCTGAGGCACTGACATCACAGCAGCAGAAGCACTGAACACCCCACGACTTCCAGTAGGGGCCCTGGGCATAGCTCCTCCTGCCATCAACTCCCAGAGGTGCCCGGGACCTTCCCCAGAATGTGGAGAACCACACTCCGCAGACCAGGAAGAGGAGGCCCTGTGGGGCCTGGCGGTCCAGGTCCTGCTTAGTTCAGGGGCCTCGTCAGCTTCGCTCAGGTGAGGTGCCCGTGGCTGGCTTGTCAATCTCCTAGATACTTTCCAGGAAAGGAACAGGCTGTGGCCTCTACTCCACCGATGGTGCCTGATGGACGCATGCGCTGCCCCAGCTCTCCACGTCTCACAGGTTCTCTGCCTCTCACAGGTGAACGCTGTCACCACTGTCTTGCCTGGGGGCCTATATTTGTGTGTTGCTTCGGTGACAGGCTCTGCCTGTCACAAGCTTTGCTATCACATAATCCTCGCGTCACGGTCCTGGATTTTAATGATTCACCAATTACGGACACACCTCCTGTGCCAAGCGGACCTCACCGGGCAGCCTGTGCCCAGCTACAGACATATCTCCTGTGCCAGGCCAGGCGAGCCTCACCGGGCGGCCTGTACTGCCCTGTGCCTGGCAGGCTGAGATCGTGGAGCTGGAGGTGATAAGCGAGTCTGTGCACCACCTTCCCAAGCTCATGCCCCGTCTCCGGGTCACACAGGGGTCACTCCTGCAGCTGTTCAGACTTTGCCATGTCCCTGTCCGGTGACACCAGAACTCCTCTAGGCACTGGGAGCCCGAGGCCAGCACCCACTTTGTCTAAATTCCACTGCCATGTGGGGCTTGGACCCAAGCAGACGTGCCCACCCTGAGCCATCACTAAGCGGCAGTCTGAGAGCAGAGGTAGCTCTCTGGAAGGTCTGGCCAGCACACCAGCTCCCCCTCCTCTCCGCTCCAGCTGTCAGTGGGAATGACACATCACGTCCACGCCCCCACACTCTGAGCCTCTCACTGGAAAGGGGACTCCAGAGCTGTCCCTCCCAATCCTATCACTATGAGATGCAGATTGACACCGTGGACCCACCCATCCTCAAAAGCAACCCCCTCTTTCTCGTCAGGCCTGAGGGCACAGCAGGTGCCAGGCCATCGTGACAGCGGAGACAGGTCAGGCCCAGGACCGTGCCCTTAGGGAGCAGCGTCAAGACCTCCGTCAGCCCTCTCCACCAACCTGCTTCTGCTTCTCCATCCACTCCAGGCCCCAGCCCCGAGGTACAGCCCACCAACTGCCCAACATTCATTCCAGACCCAGAGAGTCCCCGTTTTCCAACGACTCAGTCGGCCTCTAGTGCAAACACTCACAGGACAGGTGGAGGCCGGGCTGGGGGTCTCTCCGGGCCTGGACTCCAGGGTGTGCAGCCGAACACACTTGAGGGAATGGACCAGACCCCAGCTCCACGGCCAGATGGGCACCCGAGAGGCGTCCCCTGAGCAGCCCCCGCCGCTCGCTGCCTTATTTAGGCATTCACAGCCCGAGCGCCCGCATGCTTCCAGCATGACCTCATTTCCTGCTCTCCGCAGCGTCCACCTCGGATCCAAATCGCACAGCCTGGAACTGGCCCAAACCTCCCCCTTTGTCTTGAGCCCAGGTCTAAGCAGGCGATTTTCAAACCAGCGGCCGGCCAGTCCCCAGGGTGCAGGGCAGGCGCCTCGGCTCCCAGCGGGGACAGACCCTGAGGTGCGCGGAGAAGCGGCATCGCTGGTTTCCCAGGTGACCGTGTCGTCACCCTTCGCAGGCAGGCTCTCGGGCAGCATCCCATCTCAGCTGCCTGTGTTCAGCAGAGTTTGCTCAAAGAAATGGGCCCCCAGCTCCACGTACGCAGTTCCACCCCGCACCTGACTGAACCTGAGAACTGAGATCACTCATCCCCGGGAAGCAGCACCTGGGCATTCCCCGCACTTCACACTCACAATCATCCCGGAGGGAGGCCAGTGTGCACAGAACAGAACCGACACAGGAGGCACAGAACCGACACAGGAGGCACAGAACCGACAGAGGAGGCACAGAACCGATACAGGAGGCACAGAACCGACAGAGGAGGCACAGAACCGACAGAGGAGGCACAGAACCGACACAGGAGGCACAGAACCGACACAGGAGGCACAGAACCGACACAGGAGGCACAGAACCGACACAGGAGGCAAAGAACCGACACAGGAGGCAAAGAACCGACACAGAAGGACCTGGTCACATACAACGAGCAACCCAAGTCCCTCTACACAGCGGGGACTGTCAGTGGCCCTCCCTCTGGCCATACTGTGCCCCATTGGCCACTGTGTCTCATGCGCTCTGGGCTCGGCATGTGAAGTCTCCCAAGAAATGTGAAGCTAGAGGCTGACGACACCGTGGGGCTGGAGCCCGTGGGACTGGAGCCATCTCTTCCAGCAAAGCCAGGGCTGGCTGGCACCGTCTGCCCAGCACACCTGAGCCACGGCTGTGGGCGGGAGCGGGGGTCAGGGGCCTGGAGCAGGGCTCAAGGTCACAGAATAGAGGGGTGGGACAAGAGATTGGTGGTCCAATGAGCAAAGGGGTGCTCCTAAGGTCTAGGGGAGAGGATGAGAAAGTGTCAAGGGCAATAACCCAAAAGTCATCTAACAAAAGGACCATTAAAAGGACTCTACCTGGGGCCAAGGGGTCACGGACACTCCAGGTTTACTGCCACTTCCGGGGGTGGTGGCAGGACTGACCAGCTCGGGAGCAGGCATCCCAGGCACAACTGGTCGCTGGCGGAGCACCTGAGGCAGAGTCAGGAGCAGGAGGATGTGGAGTCTGCGGCCAGTCACTGCCATGGACAGTTGTCCCCTTGGCTCCACGATTCACAAGAAAAGGGGGGGAAGCCAGAGCAGGATCTTCAATTCTCACAGAATCCAGACTCCAGAAGCCAAGTAAGATAAACTACTTACATTACAGCCTTGAGACAACAGTTAAGCTCGAACAGAAAAAATCCCTGAAGACATCTTAAGGCCAAATAAGAGTTTAGCTTAAGGAAGGGAAGGAGCTCTGATGGCCTTGTGGGTAAGAAGCTGCACGACCAACCAAAGGCAGGCTGTTCAAATCCACCAGCTGCTCCAAGAAAGAGGGACAAAGTTCTCCCCAGTGATTTACCGTCTCTGAAAACCCACTGGAGGGTCAGCTATGAGTCAGTTCAAGCC